GATCCCTGTGACTCAAATACTCTGTATGTGCCCTTTGCATTGTGTTTAACAAGAAGGTAATTTCTGGGCACCCGAGGAGATAGGGAAAAGTGTGACTGTCCACATGGTACCCTGCGCTGGCTGCAATGCAGAGCAATAACAGCTCGATATCCGTCTGCATTTTCTCTCTGAGCGCCTGTAGTAGGGAAGACAAAGCCAGGCTCACATTTAAGGTGGCCTTTACCTTTGCTTTCTGCACTGTTGCTTCAGAGGATGTAGGGCCATGGGTAATTTCCTCTATGTGAGTGTTCATTTCCTGTAGGACTTGCAAGAGACCACCTAATTCAGAGATAGACTCATTCTTTAGCTGCGTCTTATCTTCATGAAAGATCCACTGCATAATGCAGGAAGTTTTGGGGAACTTCTTAACTGAATAGACATGAGGGTCCAGAAGGCAGCGCAGCAGAGTTCTGATGTATTTGCGACGCGATCTCCTGTAGGAATGTGGCCTGTGGCTCGTGCTCTCTGGCGTCCCCGTGCAGGTTGGTGAATGCGACACAATTGTCGAATCTGTCATCGTCCTTTCCCCCTGGGCAGTACCAGGCGATTTCCACAACCCCCTTCATCAGCAGGCAGTCTCTGCTGCTGCCCCTGCAGTGACGGTGGAAAAACACGTCATGCTTGTGCTTACTCAGCAGGGCGTTCAGGATCTGGGACTTAGACGAATGAGGCGACTGGCCTATCTGGGTGAAGGACACCAGGGGCGTCTCTGCTTGGTAAATCAGTGTGTTATAATTTGTAATGCTGGTCTGCTCTCCTGACTTTTTGGCACTTTTCCAGCTCTTTTGAACCTGGCTCAGGGCCCACAGGGGGAATTCTATTTGTGCGGTGTGAGGATTTGGCACCAGCAAGGGGAGTGCAAACTGGCAGAAAGCGAGCTTCGTTGCAACATATTGTCTCATGAAATCATCGGCACAGTGAAAAATTGCCATCTGGAGATCCATTGGGTGCACGTGTCCCTGGCTTGTAGCAGATTCATGGGCTCCCTCACTAAGATCATCAAAAAAGTCATCAAACGTCTCTGAGGAGTCACACTCTTTGTCTGTGGCATTCAACCCCCTTGTTATAGCTGGTTTGGTTTGACCCTCATCCTTACAAACCAGGTACCGGACCCGATAGTCCACCATTAACAGCTTTTGCAAAAAACAAAATGGCAGCTGATCCTCTGTGCGGGGCTGGCTGTCCTGCAAGGATTCCTCATTTTGCAAAAAACAAAATGGCAGCTGATTTTCTGTGCAGGGCTGTCTGTCCTGCAAAGACGTCTCGGTAATGAGTTTGAAAATGGCTGTCCCCATTTTCCTATGATAGTACTTATCAAGTCCAAGTCGTTTCATTAAATTCAAGAACTCCTGATTTTCATTAGTTTCACATCTCACAACACTAGTAAATGGCACTTTGGATTCTACTTTTGACACCTTGGCTCTTTGACAAACGTCTTCTAGTTCTTTGATTATCTCCTGTTCCTTCAAACTAACGTTCTCCACTTCAAAATTCCCATTTAAAAGGCAATTTAAGTCTCTTTCCAGAACTTGCCAATCATTCCATGCACCATGCTTTCTAAGAATACCTGATATTTCATTGGACAGTAAGTTTCCCATGTGATGTTTCATAAAAGTCAAACGTTTATTCTTCTCCTCCAGAGTTACACTGTTGAATTCAGGGGTCACTGTCAGACCTGTCA